CCTCTCCCTAACTCCCTCTCTCTCTAACTCATTCTCCCGCAACAGCCTCTCCCTATCTCTCTCTTGACTTTCTCTCCCTCTCCCATTTCCCCTCTCTCGCTGCCGCTACTCCCACAACCACGTCCTCCTCTCCCACAGTCCACGTTCTCCCACCGGTCCTCTCCTGCAGCCCCCTTCTCCCGTCTTGTTCAAGTAAAATTTTTAAAATTTTAAATTTAAACTGTTTTTTTAACTTATTTACTGTTTTAGGTAAAAATTTAACTTATAAGCTGTTTTTTAAATTTAAATAGTTAATCTTGTTCAATTTAGTTAATTAATTAGTTTAATTAAGTTAATTGTAGTTTAATCTTGTTCAATTTTAGTTAATTTTAGTTTAATCTTGTTCAAATTTAGTTAATTTTAGTTTAATCTTGTTCAATTTTAGTTTAATCTTGTTCAATTTTAGTTAATCTTAGTTCAATTTTAGTATTTATGCATGGTTGATTATGGATTTAATCTTGTTATTTATGTTTTTTTCGTAATTTTATATGAACTTAAAGATTCTTAATACATATTTTTGTGAATTGCTATAATTAAATATATTAAAATAGGCAAACGCCTAGGCGCCGCCTAGGCGCTAGGCCCCGGCTCGAACGCCTAGTCTGCCTAGCGCCTTTTGTAATATTGATTTTGAGTGACAAATATAGTTCCAAGAGAAAATGTTATGTTCAAAACTCTCATTTTATGAGCCTCAAAACTTGAAGTTCTTTAAATTTTCTTTTCATTGACACATCTACCCATTAAGCAGTTGAAAGAATCTAATAATTTAGGACATAGCATATGATTTTTAAGAATCTTTGAGAAAGCTGAAATGTAAAGCAAAGCACAAAGCACAAGGCATAAAGCTTTAGGAATTTTCATTTTTATGATAAAACTTTATTGTTCATACAAATAATATTATAAGATAATTGCATGTGCCTGATTGATTGAATCTTAATAAAAAAGGAATTCAGGAGACAATTAACAGTTAGATTTTTATAATGTAACTTCATATTATGATTGATGTTGCTATCAATGTTGCATGGACATGATACGCCAGCATGGAACACAATGATACATTCTTAAATATGCTCAGAAATTGCGTTTCGAGGTACTTACTTACATAGTCATTGACTCATTGATGATTTGAAAATAGAATGTAAATGATGTGTTAATATAATGATAATGACTACATTCGAAAAAATTTGTTGAAAGATCCTCATATGACTTGGAAGAAGATCTGGAGGAAAAAATTTAAGATTGTATAAGATTCATTTATATTGTCCACGTGAATGCACAAATCACAAAATACTTGATGCCAAAAGGCTTAAGCTCATATTAAAGTTTGGAAGTTTTATATTTTAGAGAGTTCTCTTATAGGCTACATATAGCACCTACTATGCTTTAAGTGCTCTAAAGCATGCCTCATGATGAGCTTTTATAAAAAATAGAATTTATTTGTTACATTACCGAGTTATATGAATTATACATGAATAACTATCTCTTTGCATGACAAATATACTCTTGTACTATAAGTTTTATGATCTTTTTAAGATAAAGGTTGTCTTTAAGTTCCTTTAGTTACATATGATGGTTTAATACAGGTTGAAGTAGGAAGGGCAAGTTAAACAGGTTCACACGATGACATGTGGCTATTGTCTTTTTGTCCTTAACTTTAACAGTATCATTTATTCCTATGAGCTTTGCATTTGATATATAAGAATTTTGAAGCTGAACTGTGCTATTTCAAGAATAGATGATGTTCAATATTGACTGCTTTTACCTTCTGCAGGATTCAATGTGGAAACTGTGGAGTACAAGAACATTAGTTTTACTGTTTGGGATGTTGGGGGTCAGGATAAGGTATTTTGATGAACTTTATTTCGTTGTAAGGAAGATTAGTTGGTTGAAAATAAGTTTTGAAGAAGCTTTACTGATCTTGTAATTTGTGAATGTTTGGAAACAACAGATCAGACCGTTGTGGAGGCATTACTTCCAGAATACACAGGGTCTAATTTTCGTTGTTGACAGTAATGACAGAGATCGTGTTGTTGAGGCGAGAGATGAGCTCCACAGGATGCTGAATGAGGTAAGATAGTTTTACTATGATGAAATTGATGAGTGTTCACATCGCCAATCTATATAATATTGGCTTTTAACAAGATTAATGTCAGCTTATATTAATTAGGGACTGAAATATGATCTAGCAACTCGGTCTAAAGCTAGTAACTCTAATGCTGGGAAATAGCTGAAGGACTGAGATTGCTTGGGGATACTAAAGAAATGATGCCCACCCTCAACAACATCATGACTTGAAGACCCCAAACAGAAGAAACCCATAAATTTAGTAACATCAACTAGGAAAGAAAGGAAAATATCTATCTAGCAAACTGCCCAATAGATATTTGCCAGAAGTGTAAAAATAAATGAAAAATACAAAAGAGAACGCGATCTTACCCAAGAAAACCCTACAAATCACAATAGGAAAAATAGAAGAAATTAAGAGAATGGCACAGTTTTTCCATAGATAAAGGCCTTGGGTTCTCTCAGCTGAGGCTTAAACAGCCTCCGACCAGAATATCTGGAAACAGGTGAGAAGGTGATCAGCATGGGCCATAGATAGAACTGCTTGTGAAAATGCCCCAACTGCAGAAAATTGTTCGCAATATTCTTCTCAGGAGCCAAAATGTGAGCCATTAATTGATAATCCATGCACCATTTTTCATAAGCTTGTAACACAAGTTTTTCCATGGAGGAAGTAAGAGAATGGCATAGTTTTCCATAGGCAAAAGCTTTATGAGTTCTCTCGGCTGAGGCTTAAACAGCCCTCCGACTGGAATATCTGGAAATGGGTGAGAATGTGATCAGCATGGGCCGAGTTAGATGGAACTGCTTGCGAAAATGCCCCAACTGCAGAAAATTGTTTGCAATATTCTCTTAGCGAAAATGTGAGCTATTAATTGAGAATCCATAAACCATTTTTCATAAGCTTGTAACGTAAGTATACGACCTGAAGTTTCCACTACCAAACATTGTATTTAAATTAAGGAGAATTTATTTTTCACGATTAATTATTTATTAAGTTACGTATTTCGCGAATTGAATAGTTGACTGCTATATTCGACGTCTTATTAAGCTAATTTTTCATATGGGAAGCATGTCGTAATTTATTGCATTCCATTCTTAACTTGCTGGGAAACAATATTTGGGTATGTTAATTTCATGCCTGTTGCTCAACTAGAAAGTTTGATGGCTTGCTGTATTTCTAAATTGTTGCTTCGGTTAATTTGATTCTTTTTGTGGATGTTAGTTTCTCTCCAATTTCATATTACGTATTCCAGCCTGGATCTGTATTTAATCTTGGCTGAATGACCCTACAGGATGAGCTGCGAGATGCTGTGCTGCTTGTGTTTGCTAACAAACAGGATCTTCCAAATGCAATGAATGCTGCTGAAATCACTGACAAACTTGGCCTGCATTCCCTTCGTCAGAGGCACTGGTAAGCCTTAATTTTCTTTGAAAGTATCAGTTAGGTGTTGATAAATGGAATAATTGTGATCATATGCCTGTCATGCGCCTCGAAAATCAACCAATGGAAGGCTTGTGAGTGAACATTATAAAATGAAATGTTTAGAAGATTGGAAAAATAGATTTTTGATAGTTCCTGTGATATTTTAAGCAGCAGCACCAAGAGTTCCTCATGTAATAGTTATCCTGGAACTGAATATCTTATCCTAAAGTCTGGCTAGGCAGTTAAGTGTCAGATTTATATAGATTGTGTCATGTTAGAAGTACTTATATCCATGTATCTGAAAGCGCACATGCAATTATCATACTGTATTAGCTTCAAATTAAAACCCTTGGCCTTAATAGATTTAGGTAATTTGCATGAAAGAGAGAACCATTAAAGGCACCAAATTGATCTCTCACTACATGGTCCATCTAATCGGATTTAGTTGCTCTGGGTACTTGTGTACTTGATCTTATGGCTATCTCTGTTCTCCAATGCCTAAGATCTTACTTCAATCTTATATTATCTATCTGTATATACTCTTTGAGTTTGGATTAAGCATCTGAATCCAGTCATCTTGTAGTTCTAATTCGTAAATATGGCTCTTTAATGTAGATCTAGTTATCCAACTATTTTATTTGAATGGCATCATGAATGGACCTGGAAAAAGAAGCAATTGTGTAACTAATTGATGGCGAAAATATATGTTCATAAATATCATAATTTATAAATCAATGTTTACAAAATTTTGTAAAAAATATCATTTAAGTGAAGGAGATAGTTATCTCTGACTAAGAAATCAACAAAGGGAGCATTGGTAGAATGTGAAGCCAAATCACTAGATAATATCATACCTGTATAATTCTAGCATTTATTATATTTTGATTTTGTAATCAACTAATCATTCACTTTGCAAGTACGTGGCTCATCTAAACATGCATATCTTTTGATCTTGGATGCATTATCGTCAAAATAAACTACTAACTGATACGGAAGTGTTCTATCTGGAATATATCATGCGTCTTCCACAGTATGAATGATTTCATTATAGTGGTCCGTGCTAGTTGATTTCTAATGACTTGCATAAATTAATGCATGAAATTTGTATCGTCTTTCAGGTACATACAGAGCACTTGTGCTACATCTGGTGAAGGTTTGTACGAGGGGCTCGACTGGCTCTCCAGTAACATTGCCAACAAGGTATAGCATCATTCAATAATGTTCAAGTGCCTCTTAAACTTCTAGAGGCTTTTTCACGAGCAGCAATGTAGCAAACTCTAATTTGGGTTTTCTGCCCAAATAGTCGCTTAATGTTGTTTTTCTCGTTTTCAGGCTTAAACATCTCTCTATGTGGGCTGAAGTGAGGATGTGATGAAGCTTTAGATGAAACTTATTAATCTCTCAGACGTGTTGGTTTTTGTGTTGATGTGGATGATGTTTTCGGTTTGGATTGTTACTATTGCTGTTACTTGCTTTATTTGCCTAGGCCCATAACTTGTTTACTGTTTGGTAGTATTTGACGCTTGTTGTAATTAGTTTACATGGTCTCTGGTATATTTACCTCTACTATATTTTGATCATTGATCTATGCCCCAGCTATTATCGGCATTAGTCCATATCTTTCATATTCCGACTTAACAACTCAGATCTCGCTAAAATTTGTTGAATATGGTATTTTGGTTACAAAATGTGTGTCGTGGTCATCTCCGTTCAGATAAAACTATGTTCTGAGCCAACGCGATAGAAAGCCTCGTTCAATCCAAATATGTTTTCCTTGTTCAGGCTGGCGTCTTTGCTTCAGATTTGAATCAAATTTATTGTAATGACCTTGCTCGCACTGCTTGTTTTGATTTATTTGGTTTGTATGCCCTTCAAATATGTCAAGCTATTCTAGTGTCACAACATAGATGATTGATTATGTTTGTTTATAAGCTATAATCAGTTATTGATTAATATAATAAAGCTTATAAAAAAACATTAAGTATCTCTTTTTGCTAATGTTATGAGATAAGGTGAATGTAGTTTTTTATATGGTTTTTAAAAACTAAAAAATGATTGGAATTTTAATGTCTTTTTTATATGTTTTAAAAACTAAAAAATGATTGGAATTTTAATGTCTTGATGTTTCAATCTATGTTCATGTTTGGTTCATTCAATTAGTTCACGTATGAGATTAGGACTTTGCTCTAATCCTCAAAATGAATAGTAATAAGCCCCCATTATCCCTCGGTATAAAATGACATAAGATTTTACATGACCATTGTAGACAAAAGATTTTTCATGACCATTGTACCCTCTCGCCTCGTGCATTCCCCACACCAATGATATATATGTATGTATGTATGTATGTATATTAAATTTAGGAAGTCATTTATTACTTTAAATTTTTTTTGGGGTAATCTTTGTAAAGTTTTTAGGGTTGTTTGTAATTTTTGAAACTTTCAAGAGGGTGCTTGTAAAGTTTTTAAGGGATCATTTTTTAAAATTTACTTGGTATTATTTGTAATTTACAAAACTTTCAAGCGGGGTTTTTGTATTTTTTTTGAGGGTTCATTGTCAATTTGAAAACCTTTAAGGGGTTGCTTGTAAAATTTTTAGGAGTTGTTTGTAATACTTTAAAATGTTTAGCTTAATATTTGTTATTGTAGCAACATTCATGAGGCTAGTTGTAAAACTTTTAAACGATTCTAAAGTTTTAAAGGTGATATTTGTATTTTTGGAAACTCTAAGGGTCTGCACTTCTATATATATTAAAATATTAATTATTAATTAAAAAATATATATTCAGAGTATATCCAAAACATCCCCTAATAGAAAATTAATAAAAAATTAAGTGGCAGATTAAACCAATCTCATATAATTTCGGTGTCCGCGAAACTGCTTAATTAGAATATGTCATTCTTCTGCAGTTATATGACTTATAAATTCGTGATAGTCTTATTAATTTTATTTTAAAGACTATTCGTGATAGTCCTATTAATTTTATTTTAAAGACTAATTACGTTCCAATATCCTGAGGTATAATATAATTACACGCGTATCCCTGAAGTTTATGTATCTACGCATATAATCATGAGATTACTGATTCTAATCACGTAGGTGATGATTAACGAACTATGTTTTTTATGTTTGAATTGGATTTTTGGTATAATCCGAACTATAATTATCTCGAATTAGATAAGAATTTGGACAATTTCATTAATTAATAAATTTAGTATGTTAACAATAAACAAATATAATTCAATTAGTAATTTTCTGCATTGTAAGTCATAAAAGTAACAATTATTCTTCTTAATTTCTATAGTTAAATATGTAATAAAAAAAGTTAAACAACAATACAATTTTAATGCATAATTAAAACAACAAACTCTTACCCAATCTCAGAAAGAGCAAAAAAAAAAAAAAACAGAATTCTGTTAAGTATTACAGTGCATTTCCCCCCCTTTCTTTTTAACTTTCTGATACTTACACATACAAGTAGGGGTAATGATAAATAAAAATAAACTATGCAAAATCAAAATTTTCTCATACAAATCCCTAATAATAAAATAATTGCTAATATGCAAAAAAAGTAGAAATCTAATGCAAATAAAAATAACTTCTTATGCAAAACCCATATGCAAATCTCTTCTCATAAATTTTTTTTGCCGCCTACAGCTAGGAAAATAATTAATAAACAAGTATTTATATTTGAAGCATCAAAATCAGGTGATGGGAGTATAGAATAGAGCTGAGGAGGTAATAGACTAATTTACAGTCAAGTAGTTAATTGGAACGGACTAATGAACAACATTTCCTAATTTGATGAGTAGTTTTATTGCATACTTTCCTAATTTGTTAAGTAGCGTAATTATTCCGCGAGTAATCATCATTAACACTTTGATTTGGCGGGAATTTCAGAGGGAGAATGATCCTAGCCGTCCATCTATCCCTCATTGCCTTCTATAAATCAAGTTCAGAGAGGGGAAAACGGTCACGCGCACAAACTCTCACTCCCTCTCTCTCTCTCTCAAATTGAAATTCCAAATTCTAGGGTTTTTAATTCGCCGCCGCAGACGATCGATTCTGAAAACCTAGCAGCGATCGCAAAGCTAGGGTTTCCGTTTCTTTCAGAAGCAAATAAGATTCTTGTTCGTAGCTGGTGTGGCCATCGATCGCTCTGTTTGAAAACCTAGCTCCAAGCTCTCATCTTTTCTTTCCAAAAAAGCTAGGGTTTTTTCTGCGAAATTGGCAGCCATGGAGATACAAGAAGTTGAAGGAGCCGACGATCTCCAGCGGGCTGATCCGGTTCTTTTTCAGTTCCCGGGGTTTAATTTTAAACCCAGCGATGTTGATCTTGTGGCCTTTTACCTTCGGAGGAGGATCAGCGGAGGAATGACCCCGAGCAACTTGGTCAGAGATTTGGATATCTACTCAACGGAACCCTGGAATCTTCCTGGTAATTCTGATCTTTTACTTTCTTTCATCTGATGTGTCAATGCAAAGGAATCGGCTTTTCTTGTTAACAAGTCGCGAATTAGCTTCTCTAGTTCTTTGATTGTTTGCTTTGTGTTGATTTGTTATTCAGCCAGAAAATGAAGGGTTTCTTGTTAATCATTTGATGCAATATGAATCACTTTTTATTGCTAGTTTAGTTCGAGAGTAGGCTTTTTGATCTGTTTCGCTTGATACCCGTCAATCATTCTAGGGTTATGGAGCTCTTGGGCTCTTCAAATCTGCATGGGGGAAAAAGAAATTATCGGTGCATTCTAATGCACGAGCTTTTATGTCATATCATGTAGTAGTGTGGTGTTGAATTTAGAGACATTACGTTGCCCTTTTACACTAGCTATGAAGGGAGGGGCACGCGTATGGTAAAGGTTTCTTACTTTGATGAACTAGTATTCTCCAGTTTGGTAATGAATTATTTTCTTTACTCATTTAGTTAGTTACTTTATTATTTTAAAGTTATGTTTCTGTGGCCTTCTTGCTGTCTATATTTTATTAACTAATTCGATTATGATACCTCCTCTGCTACTGATTTATTTGGATTTCTAATCTTGTTGACATAACTCTGTTGATTTTTTTTTTCTATTAAATGTCACCTCCTATTAATTTACCTGTCACATTTAAGCAATCCGCCCGCTAAATATGTTGCTGGTTTTGATTTCTAACCTGTTTTTGATGAATGGTTTGCAGGTGGTCTGTTTCAGTCCGAAAGTGAGAAGTACATGTTTTTTTTCACTCGCAGACACCCAATCAGTGCACGCTCTCGGAAGTTTAATCGCACTGCTGGCTGTGGTTTATGGCACGGTAGTAGCAAAGACAAAAATGTCATACATGGATCTCAAGTTATTGGGTACAGACTGCAATTCACTTTTAAGAAGATCGACGCCGGGAACCAGAAGATCCCTACCAACTGGATTATGCATGAATTCCGCCTCAACAAAACTACAAACATTGATAGCTTGGTGCTTTGTAAAATCTTTAAGAGGAAGCATGGTGAAGAGGGAGAGACAGATGGCCTCGGCGCTGGCATTGCTCTCTCTGATGTTTGTGATGGTGAAGAAGAAAAAGAGAGATTTGCAAAGAGGAGGAGGATTGTGGAATCAGGTGGACAAAAGTTCTTGATGGATGGTTATGCTGAGACATCCTCCAAGAATGCATCATCATCATTATCCTCATCATCATTGCATCATGAAGCACCTAGTGTCGCTGTTGAGAAACCAATTCAACGTCAAGAACAGACAACAACATATGAGAGTCTCGAGAAGAGGAGGCAAGTTGAGAAACAAACACAACAAGAAGCCTACATGGCCGATAACAGTGAGAAGAGATACTGTCGTGTGGACAATACTAAGGCAGCCGACCAACCTTTAGTATTCAAGGATGAATTTGCTTCACTGGAGGACCTTATCTGCCTTGATGACTTTCCACAATGGACTACGGAGTTTAATGCATCACCTTTAGTGGGTGATTGTGATGAGACACCATTCTTGCCTTATGAAGAACAAACAGCAACAGAGGAAAGACTCGAGATGGGGAAGCAAGTTGAGGAACCAGATCAACAGCAAGGCGTCTTGGCTCATTACAATGAGGACACTACTGAAGCAAACAGCCAGTCTTCGTTGTTCAATGCTGTATATGAGTCTCTTTTCTTTGATGATTCTTCACCACAGGATGCCAAAATTGATGCGTCATCATCTTTTTTCCCTTGCTCTGATGACCTTCAAAATCTGGGGTGGGCTGGTCTTTACCATTCGCTGATGAAGTAAGGCTGCCCTCAGCCACATGACTGCTTGCTTACTTGCTTACTTACTGGTGTTGAGATATCCGACTTTTGTCAGAGGATTTCCAAAACTGATAGTGCTGAGATATCCAAAAAAAATTTTAGAGGATTTTCATGAATTGCTTGTGTACAAAGAAGAACTCACCCCCATTAACTTCAAGTGACCTTTGTTGACCTCATCGATAACCAGTACAATCTTACAATGTAGGCTCTCTACAAAGGGTGCATCTTGTGTTATTTCATTCCGTTGTTAATAAAATTATTCATTCTTATTTAAATGGGATATAGTCCAGTATCTTTTACTTTTACTTTATGCATTTTCTGCTTCTTAGTCCTTGTATGCATGTTTTTTTAGGTGCTCATATGTACGTTTAATTTGCAAGATAATTTATCGTTTAATCATTATTCAGGTTTGATTTTTTTTTGTCATTCCCATAATAACAATTAAGCTTCCCTTTTGACACTGAATCAATTTGACTATGCTTGTGCTGGGAGAGAGAATCCACAATAAAATAACTGAAAAAACAAAATGATTACTGTCAGGTTGAGTAACTGAGTATCCATAGTTTATCCTTCTTAGCACTTGGAAGAATGTCAATTTTGCAGGTTTTAATCGCTTCATACTCTTCAGTCCTTCTACACGATGATATGGCAATAGTTCTATACTGAGCAAGCCGGCTGAACTATTCACGATGTCACTTGTCACCTACACGATGATATGGCAATAGTTCTATACTGAGCAAGCCGGCTGAACTATTCACGATGTCACTTGTCACAATAATTTGAAATGCTAATAATGATAATACTGAGCAAGCCGGCTGAACTATTCACGATGTCACTTGTCACAATAATTTGAAATGCTAATAATGATAATCGTTTCATCTTGAACTTCTCCTTAATTAGAACCGCAATCTTAATCTTAAATTAAAATATTTTATACCTCACGGTGGTGTACGTTACGTAGCTATTTTTAAGATAGAAAGAAAGTTCTGCTTTATTATATAAATGAACATCTCATGTTATTATGTTAAAGAAAGACTTCAATTCTTTTGACAAACATCTAGGATTCTTCTCATGTCCTTATGTACATATTCATTCGTTATTATATAAATGAACGGGGATCTGATCCGTTGTTTTTGTTTCCATAAAAGAAAGTGGGCTTTGATAGAAGTTTTTATTTATTTATTTATTATTAAATAGCATTTTTTTCAGAAGTTTTAAATGCTACATCTTAAGAAATGCATTACTTTCATCATTTGAGCACCAAATTTTATTGCAGAAAGATGCAAGGTAGGCTTTTGTGTCCTTCGGGTCAATTATTATTTCTGTCCGTCTCCTTAAAAATAGGCAAACTAGTAAATGAAAATATTTCTGCATCTAAGTATGAATAGGTTTGTTGATTATACTGGAGGTGGATAATAGTGGTGAGCCATCACCTCCTCACTTCATGACATAGAAAGTATCCTTTTTATTCTACTTAAGAACAATTTGGTTACCTAGAATATGAGCAATAGTTATTTTAATGGAAACCTGAGCAATACTATGCAGAATTTTTTTTTGGAATCAATTCACCACTATAGGATTTTGTAAATAGAGATTTTGTAAAGAGCAAGAATAGTGGACACAGTCATAAGGCACGCAGATACAACACAATGTCGACATTCTAGTCCTAAAACTCAATTAAATGTAGGATAAAAGAGCATAGCCACATCAAATATATTCTTATGTATAGATAATACACATCAAAGCCCATAGTGATAAGACATTCTGTAGAAGTATAACGAAAAATAAGATGACATTCTAGTGAACCATATATGTGGTTTTATTTTGGTGTTTAAATAATAATCTCAAAAAAAACCCTGAACTTTGGGATTTTTACATGTAAGGTGTCTCACAAAAGCCTTACCTATGAACTTTCTCATTGGAGCCCATATGTATAATTTGCAAATGACTAAAATTTCCAAGAGAGAAGAAAAACCTCAATTGGCGGGTGGCGGGTACATTGCCAGTAAATACAAATGACTAAATTTAGGATTCTTTTCTCTCAAGAACATTTTTACTTATTTGCTCGATATATTTGGGTTCGATGAGAAAAGCTGAAAGATAGGAGGTTTTGTGAGACACCCTTAATTTCGTTCTGCTAGGGTGTTTTTTTTTTTTTTTTTGAGACAAAAAATTCAGAGGGTTATGTGCAATACCCCCAATTTCAGTTGGATTTGTTAAAATTAACCATTAAATATGTTGGAGAGTTTTTTTAAAAAAGGGAAGTGTCACTTTCAATGAATAGTAAAAAAATACTTTCAATGAATAGTAAAAACATGAGGATTTTATTTTTTCTTCGGCGATGCCAAACTCAGAAAATTTTATGCGTGGGGCCCACATGCATAGTTAATATATTATTTTATTAGTGCATAGTATTTTCCCAAACGTTATAAATAGACCTCAAATCCTTAAGGAAAATTCATTCCAAAAACAACAATCAATATATACAGATATAGATTGTAAAATAGCTGATGCTTATAGGAATTTTACCTAATAGATTGAGGAGATCTTTTGCCTGATAGATCGAGGAGATCTTTACCTGATAGATCGAGGAGATCTTTGCCTGATAGATCGAGGAGATCTTGATAGTAATGGGTCGGTACACACCAGAGTACTGGACCGCTGTATCTGGAAGCAATTTGGCCTTGGGATCCTTGTACCAGAGTAGGCCAAATAATGCTTTAAGCACAACATTTTACAAACGCACAGCAGCTGAGTTGAAAATTATAAATTACTGCACTTTAATTTTTCTGTTAAGTTTTTGCTATTATATATCTATATTATTCCAGATTTAATCACAGGCGCCAACAGTTTTAAAGCATTATTTTGATCTACCATGGATCCTGCGAGGACTCTTGGAGTGGATTGTCTTAAGTTAGAGAACTTTGACGGTTCTAACTTCAACGCATGGCATCGAAAAGTAATCTTCGGGATGCAACTCCTGAAAATCTACTATGTGGTTTCTGAGAAAAAACCCGACTCTGAAGAAGACTCTGAAGCTGAAGCCTCTTGGGCTAGAGATGATCACTTTTGCAGGAGTTATCTCCTTAACTGCCTAGCCGATCATTTAGCAGACGCTTACACCAACAAGCCCTCTGCAAAGGAAATCTGGAATGCTCTGGAGGACCAGTACAAGGATGAGGAGAAGCTCTCCAAATCTCACCTCATTGACAAATTTCTGGACTTGAAGTTCGAAGATAATACTGAGGTTTTGCCTCAAGTCAAAGAGCTTGAAAAGCTTGTTATGAAGCTGAAGGATGAAAATATCAGTCTTTTTCAAACCTTTATTTCTGGTGCAATTATCAACAAGCTTCCTCCATCTTGGATGTCATTCTCTAATGACATTCGGAGAAGGAAAAGGCATGTGATTCTATCTGATTTGAAGTGGTTCATTCGGATCGACGACGAGACTCAGACTCGCACGAAGACTGAGCTCCTTGCTAAGCAGAAGGCGTCTGCTAACATGGTGGCTGCTAATTCTGAAAAGGGTAATAATTCATCTTTCAAGAAAAAAAGTCTTTTAACAGAAAGAAGAATCAGAATCTGAAGAACCTGAACGTCCAGAAGAAGGAGTTCAAGAAGAGCAGCAAATGTTTTAACTGTGGGAAGCAAGGATATTTTGCCAAAGATTGCAAAGTACCAAAGAAGAAAACAACAAACAATGTCAATCAAGTTGATGATTGTGTGACCATGCTCTTCCAGGTAACAACTCCAACCAACATCTCTAGTTGGTGGTTAGACACGAGTGTTACTTGTCATGTATACTCCAATAAAGATATGTTCTCTTCTTATGTTGCTACCAAAGAGAATGTATTAATGGCTGATCATTCTGTGGTTTCTGTTCTTAGAACTGGGACTGTGGTGCTGACTATTTCTTCAGGAAAGACTCTAACATTGAATGATGTGAAACACGTTCCCTCAATTACCAAAAACTTAGTCTCTGGAAGCATGCTGTGTGATACAGGCATGAGGCTAGATTTCTAAGGAGGAAAGCTGTATTATCATTCAAGAAAATATATTTTGGCAATGCATATCATACTGATAGCATGTATAAAATCAGTACGAGTGCACCCAACCCCGTTGTAAATGAAATATCCTCTTCTGCTTACTCCTCTGTGTTATCGCACAATAGGTTGGGACATGTAAATTATAGAAAATTATCCAGCATTGAGAAGTTAGGATTACTTCCAAAATATGGGATAACAAACCTGAGAAGTGTGAAGTTTGCGCGCAAGCAAAGCTGACGAGGAAGCTATTTTTAAGTGTCACGAGGAGCACCAACATGTTGGATCTGATTTATTTAGATACTTGTGACTTCAAGAGCTTCATCACTTGTGACGGCAAGAAGTACTTCATCACCTTCATTGATGACCATTCTTGCTTCTGTCACGTTTACCTGTTGAAATCTAAAGATGAAACCTTCAGCAAATTTGTTAAGTTTCGGACTCGAGTGGAGAAGCAGCTTGGATTGCATGTGAAAAGACTCAGGAGCGACAGAGGAGGAGAATACCGATCTAAGGAATTAGAAGCATACTTCAAGGAGCATGGAATCATTGCAGAAGCTACTGCTCCGTATTCTCCACAATCTAATGGGATTGCAAAAAGAAAGAATCGCACATTGACTGAAATGGTGAATTTGATGCTAATCACATCTAGTCTACCTACCTGCTATTGGGGAGAGACTTTGCTAATGACAAACTAGATTCTGAACAGAGTATCCTATTTCAAAACTAATAATACTCCTTATCAGTTATGGTTGGGATATCCAGATTCTTTGGATAGTCTCAAAGTGTGGGTGTGTCTTGCATATGTTCGAATTCCAGATATCAGAAGGCCTAAGCTTGGACCAAAGGAAAATAGATGTGTGTTTCTTGGCTTTGCTGGAGATAGCAATGCGTGCAGGTTCCTAGACCTTGGAACCAACTCCATCATTGAAGCTCGGGATGTAGAATTCTTTGAGGATAAGTTTATCAAACATAAAGACTTATTGCTCAAAGATATAGTAGGGAATGCTAATACATCAAATGCACAAGAGGAGCCAGTCAATGATGAAGGAGTTATCAAACCATATTCCAAGCGAGTCAGAAGATAGAAAGATTTTGGAGATGACTTCATCACCTATAATGTGGAAGGAGATCTACAGACTTTTTAAGAAGCAATGCAGTCAACAGACGTTCTTCTGTGGAAAGAAGCTATCGATGATGAGATGAATTCATTGATCCAAAATCATA